TGCAAAATAATACATGGGAATTGGTTAATTTGCCTCCGGAAAATAAATCAATAGGACACAAATGGATTTTCAAGAAGAAATTGAAACCGGATGATACCATAGACAAGTATAAAGCTCGTCTAGTTGCCAAAGAGTATCGTCAAAAAGAAGGACTTGACTACTTTGACACTTATTGACCAATAACTAGAATAACATCTATAAGGTTGTTAATAGCTATAACGTCTATTTACAATCTTGAGATACATCAAATGGATGTCAAGACTGCATTTTTAAATGATGAATTAGACGAAGAAATATATATGGAACAATCTGAAGGTTTCATTGTCAAAGGTCAAGAAAAGAAAGTTTGCAAATTGATTAAGTCATTATATGGACTTAAACAAGCTCAATGACATGAAAAATTCGATCATAATATGATCACAAATGGATTTGTAATCAATGAAAGTGATAAATGCATTTATGTTAAGCAAATGAAAAATGCATGTGTTATTGTATGCCTATATGTTGATGACATGCTCATAATGGGAACAAACAAAGATGTGATTAATTCCACTAAGAAAATGCTAAATTCTAGCTTTGATATGAAAGATATGGGAATAGCTGATGTGATTCTTGGAGTTCGAATTCTAAGGAATTCAGATGGATATGTTCTAACTCAATCACATTATGCTGAAAATATTCTAAAAAGATTTGGACATTATGATTATAAACTTGCCGTAACTCCATTTGATCTCATTCATAAACTTACTAAAAATGAAGAAGATAACGTATCTTAATTGGAGTATACCCAAGTTATAGGTTGCTTGATGTACATTATGAATTGTACAAGAATGATCTCGCTTATTCAATAAGCTGATTAAGCAAGTATTCAAGTAATCCTGGAAGATATCATTGGAATGCTTTAATAAGGGTATTAAAATACTTAAAGCATACAATGAACTATGGTTTGCATTACACTCAATATCCCTCAGTATTAGAAGGATATAGTGATGCAAATTGGATTTCAAGGAGTACAGACAGAAAATCCACAAGTGGACATGTATTTACACTTGGTGAAGCAACTGTGTCATGGAAATCGTCTAAGCAAACGTGGCACGTTCGATAATGGAATCAAATTTTATACCCTTAGATGCAGTTGCTGATGAAGTTGAATGGCTTAAAAATTTTCTAGAAGATATTCCATTATGGCCCAAGCCTGTGACTGCAATATGTATACATTGTGATAGCATGGCTGCACAAGGTCGAGCTAAAAACGCTGAATATAATGGGAAGTCGAGACATATAAGACGACGACATAGAACTATTAGACAGATACTCAAGAATGGAACTGTTTCCATTGACTATATTAAATCTAATGAGAACATTGCCTATCCTTTGACTAAAGGCCTACCCAAGGATCAAGTGGCATTTACATCGAGGGGAAGGAGTTTAAGGCCAACTCAATGAGTTATAACTTGACGGAAATGTACCCTAACTAATTGGAGATCCCATGGTCTAGGTTCAATAAGCAAACTAGTTAAGGAAAACTCAAGGTAAGAAATACACAATCCTTACTCATTCTTATGATGCAAAACAATGTGTTGCCTGTAAGATGAAAAGGGTGAATAACTATTCTTAATAATGCTAATATCTTCTGGTTAAGATGAATAGAACATGATATTCTTGATTAGCATTACCTATATGAGATTGATGTGGGGTTGCATCTTTAAGAATTGATATGACCATCTCTAAAGGTCTCATGAAATCAGGACATGCTCAAGACCAAAATGAACACAACCATATGAATTTGAAGTGTGTCAAGATGTGATATGTGTGATACTTATTGTTTCGATTTACTACAAAGAATGATCAGTTCAAATATTAAATTCACTGTTTCATTAGGTAAATCCGATAAGTACTCACTAGAGAAGGTTCAAGTCCAAAAGACACATATCCTGATGCGTATCATATCTTAGTTCTCTGGAAAGACGTTACAAATTTAGTTAGTATCTTATTTTCTATTCAAATGTGGGGTATTGTTGGAACTTGTGAGGGACTATTGTCCCACATCGCCCATACACTTCAGCTAATTCCCCTTTATAAGTGAGTTCACTCACTTATTGTTTGAAAGGAATTAGGCCAAAGCCATGAACCTTGGGTCTTGGACTTGGAAGGTTTGGTTGTATATATTAAATGTCAAAGATGGGCCTTGGGGCTTGGATGGACTTAAAATACAAGTACGATTTTTACATTTTTGATTTTAGGATTCAATTTTTTTCCGAAAGGATAAGACTGTTTACAAAAACAGTTACATCCATTCTGAAAGGATAAGAATGAACGGCCATAACTGTTCAAAACGACATTATATATATGGTTGTGATATCAGAAATGAAGAAACAATTCCATTGCTCTCTCTTTGATCCTTCACAAAGAAACACATAGTAAATTTGTCAAGAATCCAAGTTTGAGTGCAAGAACTTGGGTTAGATAGTTGTATCCTACAAGATAGACATCCATGAACTACTGAACTGGTATTGGGACGAATTTCTGTCTTAGGATATTGCTACTGCAAGCGTCTATCTTCCATAAACAAATAAGTGATTATTGTTGTGATTTTATACGCAGTTATTAATTGTTCATATTCTAGTATATTGTGTATATAATGAAATTGTAATTCGAAATAAAATATGTAATTATTCTATATTGTATAATTGATATTTGATTGGTTATAACAAATCCGACACAAAATTTCAAACTTTGCAGATTTAAACCCAAGGACCTTGATCCGGTTCGAAGAAAACGACATCATAAGTAAGCCTTAGCGCTTCGCCTTGCTGTATAGGCATTTTCAGTCGAATTTCATTGTTTAACCAATGTTTTATCATTATTTTAAGATTTTAGAATATACTTTTCTCTATTATGTGATTTTTCTAGTTCGTTTTGTGTTTGTACTCCTACAAAGTCTAGGGCCAAGAAGGCCTATATAAGCAATTTTTTTTAGTACATAGATATTTTTTATATTAAAAGGAGGAGGAGTTTGGCAAAACCACATAATAGGCAGCTTAATTGGTATTAAATTCACCATCCACGACATTCGAACTTGAGACCTCTTACTTCCAAGTGAAAAGAAATACCACTTAATCGTAGTACTGAGTGACTATATAAGCATCCTTTAGAAGACTAGAGTTTGTTATCTTTCATGGTATTCAATCATTATATTTTGAAATTTTCTGCTGATTTTTATTTTATTAAGCTTTATGGTTGTCAATTTTTTTTTTGTCAGAACGTTATCGCTTGATACTTTCTTTTTGTCACGTTGTGTCATTTTCTTATTCTTTAATCAATTCAATTCTTATATTTTATCTATAATTAATAATCTTGGTACTACGTGTGCTTAGTTTGCCTTTGATCATCAACCCTACCTATGGCTTCCTATTATATACACGTACTGTGTAATATTGGCTCATTACCAAGCCTGGCTCCAACTGACAAAAAAAAGAAATAATATCAAGCCTCACGCATGAAGGAAACTAATAACTATATATTATGGACGAATAATACTTGTAATCCCCCTCTTGGAGGGATGAGTTTATTCCACCTCTTACAAATAATCTATTTTACCATAAAATTATAATCAGAACTGCTCAATCTCTTAATCACCATTAGAAGATCATTGTTACAAAAAAAAAAAATATCGAACCAGAGCTTGTTTATTCATTCAAATGTATCAAAATAAATCAATGGTGTAAGTACCAAATAGCATATTTATAACCATTGATTTGTTTGATATATTTGGATGACTAAATGATGTCCAATTCGAATGATTTTTTATATAGAAAATCTTTAAACGAAGATTAAGAGATTTAATAGTTTCGATTATAAAATTTTAACAATAAAAATATATTATTTACAAGTTGGGAATGAGCCCATTTCTTGAGTGGGAGGATGCAAAGCATTATTTATCTCTACTAATTAATAAAACACTCATTCTCAACCAAAATCCTATGAAATTACTAGTTTAATCCTCTAATTGAAACAGAACATGAATAAGAAATATGGGGCAGAAATGTAATTTCACACAACCAAATTTTGCTGTTTTTATTTTCAAAGCATCATCTACATGTAATTCTAACATATCTCTCATTATAAATAAATAAATAAAAAATTCCTACTCCCACGTTCTTTATTACTCCTTTCCTCTCTCCTTCCATTTCAAAAATAAAAATAAAAAATTTTCTCACACATTTTGTGTGTGCCCATATGCTAGTATATTTTATGCAAGTGCATATCATTCCATCATGCATGTAGGGTGGTAGGACTCACGGACGTGCAGTTACTTAATACAAAAGCATGTCGTCAAGTGAAGGTAGCCTATTGAAATGTTTTTTTCCAAGCCTCAACTATACTATCAAACAAAAGCATATGACAGATAGAGAGCACAGATGTAGGCTCGTGAATTTGGAGTGAGATACAAAAAAATGGATCTGCTCACATGCTTCTTCATGCAACATATTGGCCAATTTGCCAACTCTACTTCCACTACTACTTTTGAAATTTCTTTTACTTGCACTTTTCTTTATATTTTACCCTTTTTTTTTTTTTTTTTTTTTTCTTATTTAGTTAAATAGAAAAGCAAATTCCATGCATGTTTCCTAGTTTCAGTTCAATATCAATTATAAGAATAAAACTTCAATCATCATAATAAACTGAGAAGTTGAAGGACGAAAAAAATTACCTAATTCTTTTATACAAGGGAAATTATAATTTAATTTGATTAATTTAATTGACAAAAAAAAAAAAAAAACTTAATGCAGAATAATGCAGAAGAAAGATATATACTACCTTAACTAGCCAACTTGATTTCGTACACATCTACAATCCCCAACCTATTTAATTAGTTTTGGCCTTTCAATTCATAGTACTCCACCAATATTACATGCATGCCAAACTCAAAGAAACCAAATACCATCAGCACACAATAATTTTCAACTGTATACATGCATCCCTCTCTCTTCCTCACTTCTTCAAGTAATATTCCAACTTCTCTTTCTTCTCCGTGTCCAACCCACCACCTAAAACTCCATGGAATCAGATGCACCACCAACCCAACCACCCTCCAAAACTTACGAACTAACAGCCTCTTCCATATCCTACACCAAATCAATCACAGCCGCCACCACCTTCTCCCCATTTCACCTCCTCTTCAAGCAATGCACCTTCCCCACCCCCACCTACATCCTCAAAGACATCTCCCTCACCGCCTACCCCTCCGAAATCCTCGCCATTGTGGGCCCTAGCGGCGCCGGAAAATCAACCCTCCTTGACATCTTAGCCGCCCGAAGATCACCCACAAGCGGCGCTCTCCTCCTCAACTCTTTCCCCATCAGCGCTTCCTCATTCCGCAAGCTCTCAGCCTATGTCCCTCAGCACGACGCATGCCTTCCCCTCCTCACCGTTTTCGAAACCTTTGCTTTTGCCGCAAGCCTCCTCGTCCCTAACCCTAACCCTTCAAACATTGCCGCCATTGTCTCCTCTCTTCTGACCGAGCTCCGGCTCACACATTTGTCCAACACCCGCCTCGGCCAAGGCCTATCGGGCGGCGAACGCAGGCGTGTCTCCATAGGCCTCAGCCTTCTCCACGACCCTTCTGTCCTCCTTCTCGACGAGCCCACCTCAGGTCTCGACAGCACCTCTGCTTTCAACGTAATCCAAACCCTAAAATCCATCTGCACCTCGCGTCACCGCACTGTGATTTTATCAATCCACCAACCCAGCTTCAAAATCCTCTCCACCGTTGATAGAATTCTCTTGCTATCAAAAGGGTCAGTTGTCCACCACGGAACCCTTTCCTCTCTCGAAGTTTTTCTGCTCTCGAATGGCTTCACTGTCCCTCCACAACTCAATGCCTTGGAATATACCATGGAAATTCTCAACCACCTCCCTCCCATCACATCTACAAAAACCACATCATCACCTCCTAATGATCCTATTGATCATGAAAAGCAGGCATTTAGGCCAGTCATTAGATACAAAAGCTCTAGAATTCAAGAGATATTGGCTTTATACAACCGGTTTTGGAAAATCATCTACAGAACAAGGCAGCTCCTTTTAACAAACACTCTTGAAGCACTTCTTGTAGGCCTTGTCTTGGGAACTATTTACATCAACATTGGATTCGACAAGCAAGGAATCGAAAAGCGGTTTGGCCTCTTCGCCTTCACTCTTACATTCCTCCTCTCCTCCACCACCGAAGCCCTACCAATCTTCATCAACGAAAGGCCGATCCTCCTCCGAGAAACCTCCGGCGGAATCTACCGGCTCTCCTCATACCTCATCGCCAACACTCTCGTTTTCTTGCCCTACTTGCTTGCCATTGCGATCATATACTCCGTTTCGGTCTACTTCTTGGTGGGTCTGTGTGGTTCTTGGCAGGCGTTTGCTTATTTTGTTCTGGTCATATGGATCATTGTTCTAATGGCGAATTCATTCGTCTTGTTCTTGAGCTCTCTGGCTCCCAACTACATCGCCGGGACTTCGCTCGTGACGATATTTTTGGGCGGGTTTTTTCTCTTCTCCGGCTACTTCATCTCCCAAGGTAACATGCCCAAGTACTGGCTCTTCATGCACTTCTTCTCCATGTACAAATATGCCCTGGATGCCCTTCTGATCAACGAGTACGGTTGCCTTGTGTCAACGTGTTTGATATGGTACCAAGAAAGTAACAGTGATAGTAAAGTTTGCATGGTGACGGGAGGCGACGTGTTGCAGAAAAGAGGGCTGCATGAAGGGCAGAGGTGGACTAATATCTACATCCTGCTAGGGTTTTTCGTGTTCTATCGTGTGCTTTGTTTGATGGTTTTGATCAGAAGGGTTTCCAGATCAAAGAAGTAGTCAACTAAAGTCAAATATGAATAAGGTACAATAAATTAGTATGTTTGTGTTCATGAAATTTATTTGCTTGATTTCCCAAAAAACTGAAGCTGGCTACTGAAATATCCTCCTCCATATATGCATGACGAAATTAAAAGGCACGTTGCTCCTTTTAGCAATTAAAGTATATTGTTGATGTCGATAAATACTAAATGAAATAGGTTGAAAGTGAATATTTGTTTGTTCATTTTTGCATGTCCTCTATTTGCAATTCTATGTTCAGAGAAAAAATTAGGGCTTTTCTTCGAGTTCTTTTGATATAAGCCATACTGAGTAGAGAATTCGATCACAAAATCTAGCATATAAATTATAAATTCAACGCTTTTAATCATTGGAGCTACCTGCAATTCACTATTAAAAAATTTGGTTATTGAACTGTCGTTCTATAAATTTAGACTTGGTAAAATTATATCCTCAAGAGCGTGACAGTAGTACATAGATGATAGAACTTAACATATCATTGTCATCATTGTTTGAATTGATCATTGAGATCTAAATCAAGCACACCACATGCAAAGCAGATGAAATACATCGGGGAGCCGTACGTACTGAATCGAGTGAAATGATGACGACGTAGTAGACGGTGATTGATTGGTCAGGGAGTAGGTTGTGGTGTAGAATGGTAGGTGGAAGTTAGAACAATATGTAATCACGGGTCCCTTCAGGAAGCAAAACGATCGATGCGCAATGCATTGAGATTGTGAGCGAAGAATCCAAGATCGGCTCAGCCTTAAACAAATATATTCTGATGACATCGATCAAGAGAGAGAAGGTTTTGTTGTCGGGTGGTGAAGTTGAAGTAGTCACAAAGAAGTTGAAAAGAAAGACAAGGAGACTTTGTTTGTTTGTTTGCCTTCAGTGCAATGTCCACGGTCACGGGTTTCTCTTAGTTTGGTTTCTTGACGTTATCCCGTGACCCAGCTCAACTCATTCTCGTCGTCTTGTCTTTGCAATTGTTGGCCTGTTGTGTCTTTTTGCAATTCCATGCACACAACACAATTGATGTACTCTACTTAATTATTGAAAGATTCTAATATTCTAAATGACACAAGGGGTTGTTTAATTTAGTGTATAGATCAAAATTTTAAGAGTTTCGATTTTAAATTTCAAGTATCAAAATATAAGTGGTTAACTAATCTAAAACCAGAAACTTAAAGTTTAAGTTCTAGCTGATAATTGAACACTTTAATAAAATAATCAACAATACCAAAAAATGAGATCAAGGTTAAAGAAAATGCACATAGCCGAACTGCTAATAATCAGTCTGAAAAAACATGTACTTTACTTATCTATGGACTAAGCGATAATACTACGACAGTTTAATACGACTGGGTACTTTACTGATCCATGGACTAAGAAATACTATAGCAGTTTGATACGACAGGTTGTTTTGGATTCAACTGAAGATTTTCATCCGCTAGGTTACTAGGTTGGGCTTCTCCTTTTACAATAAAATATTACACGTAATAATTGGTAGTTTAGTTGAGACAATATCGATAAGGTGAAACAAGAATGTTTGGCCTAAAAAGTTTATCACGTTTTTTGATGTTAATGTATATTAGCTATCTACCCATTGTGGATAGGGTGTGTACTCGTGAGATCTAGTACCAAACTAACAACTTCATACAACCAATCACTTTAATGTCACACTTAGTTACAAGCTCTCGATACCAAACTCGGCTACCACTTGGCTCCTTATATGTAAAGAACCATTCATTCTTTAATAACAACGCGGCATCATTTCATTGTACAAATATCCTAATCAAAACATTCATTCTCTTTATCATCATCATCATCATAATCATATAAAAGATCATTTGTTTTAAAATTCATTTAGTTTGGAGAATGTTTAGTCATCACGTGTCAAACAATTCAACAATTAAAGTAACAAACTAATGTATTCATGATGAATTGTCATTTTGTCAACACATGCATGTGGACGATAAATAATCTCCAAATTGAATGAATTCTTCAAGAAAAAAATTTAGATAATGTGAATGAGAGCGCATGGTTCCATATTATGATGGGTGTACACTAAAATGACAACACATCTACATGTAAAAAAGAATGACTCCTTGTATATCTAAGTAGTGTCCAACTCCTTGTATATCTAAGTAGTGTCCAAAAGGAAGGGAAAGTGACAATTGAGTAATCAAACATTCATACAAATCCAAGAATTGATATTTGATATAATCGGTGCCCACTGACTTATTTACTGAGAAAGGATAATCCGTGACAACAAATAAAAAAAAGGAGTCATGATCACGAAAAGCTACTCGGGCGTTCACCACAAGTAGACCCTTTCCGGGCCTATAACAAAAGCAAATTTACTTGAATACACGTGGTTCAATTCATGAAGTCCGAAATATATTAAAGTAATGTTAAGGAGACGATCAATTTAAATGATACTTTTGTAAATTATATAATATGATTGTCGATGATTGATTTATTTAGCATTAGTCTATATATTGACATTAGGCTCCATAACCTTTCTTGTTAGTAATGGAATGAGTGATAATGTTGTCATAAAAAGATTCTAAAACTCTCTCTCTTTCTTTTTTGGCCTAATTGGATAAATAGTCCCCATGGTCATAAGGTATTAGGAAGGTAGCCCCTGTGGTAAAAAAATTCGGATTTAAACCCTTGTGGTCTAAGTCTATTAGAATTTATACCCAAAATTGAAACTTCCGTCATTCCGCCATTAGTATTATGCACGTAAGTGTCACACATGAGGATAAGATGGTCATTTCATCCCCCGTTTCATTATAAACAAATAATTTTTGGGCCCCTCATCCCAATCTCTCTCCTCCAAACTCTCCTTTTCTCCCAATACGCCCCAGAAAATGGGCATCGGCCAGCTGGAAATTTTTTTGCTCCATTCACCCTAAAATCTCTACCAAAACATATGAAGTTTATCTCAAAACAAAGATCACAGATCAAAGAGTAGAAATATACCATTTTTACACCAAGTTGTGGCCAGATAATGACCTGAGGTTGTCAGCCCGAAACTGGGCTTTTGGTTTCTCGCGAAATCGAGGCAGATTCAAATCTCCCATGTTTGAATCTGAACCTCAGGATGAAGGGGAAGTGATCTGTGGTCCAAGTCTCGTCCAATCTGACCAGGAATTGACAGATTTTCATCTGAAAACTGCGAGATGGTTTAGGGTTTAGTCCATCTATGTTGTTGTACAGAGAATATGAGAGGTTAGAGAAAACTGGGGAGTTAAGCGTTGAGGGAGAAAAGAAGAGAGAGTGACACGGTTGTGGTGGTGGTCTGGTGATGACCATTCTCTGGCGCTCAGCGTCTCTATGAACACAGAGAAGAAAAGATGGTGAGCGTTGAGAGATGAGGGTTTGAGGAAAAATGACCATCTTATCCTCACATGTGACACTCACGTGCATGATACTAATGGAGTAATGACAGAAGTTTCAATTTTGGGTATAAATCCTAATAGACTTAGACCATAAGGGTTTAAATCCGATTTTTTTTTACCACAGAGCTACATTCCGAATACCTTATGACCACATGGCCTATTTATCCGATTAGGCCTTCTTTTTATTTGGATCAAAGGTTACTTCATAAGCAAAACAAACATACTAAAAAACTAGAGGTCCAAGTACAATATCCACAAACAAAAATATGGACCTCAAAAGTAACCTAAAACCCAAAACAAAGTTTGGCCCACAACAAAAAAACAGAAAACCTAAACCTAAATGTTTTCTTCCAGCTCTTCTGTCGAAATCACCATCGCAGCAGCACACCCTGACGATCTCGAACCACCACCACCAAACTATTACCAAGAACCATCACCTCAGAGGTGGAAAGAAGATGGATTCAGACTTCCAAACGATAACATCTCGTCAAACAAGACCACTAAAGCAAATAAGCCTGCGGGATTACCACAAGCAACACTGTCAGAAAAGGCAGATAGAGAGAATGAGGTGGTGTGGCCACCCAAACAAGTGTGAACACTAGAACTCAACATACCTTCTCAATAGAGATGGAATCGGTGGAATCCAGGATTTTAAATTCGGAGATGGAATCGGTGGAATCCGGAAGAAAGACATGTAGATGAGTGTATGGATTAATGAAAGGATCTGAGAGTTCGATGAGTGGATAGAGAGATTAGTGATAGTCAGTGGTGAAAAGGCTATGGAATTCGTAGGAAGAAAAGCAGGGGAAATAAACAAAAAGGAAAGAAAAAGGTTGTAGAAGGAAAGAAGAAAAGGTTGCCACCGACCCTAATCAGAATACATTTACTTCATATATGTATACATTTTCTTCCAATAAGGAAGGGTTACTGAGCAGTTTGTGTTGGCATTTTGTACCGGACTATTTCGAACTTGACTAACTTGACTAAGCTGGATTAACTTAGCATGGATTAAGCTGTATAAGAATAATGAAGTATTTGGTGCAGTGTAGAACTAAGCTACTGACTAAAATATTTTTGGAACTTAAATTTACATTTTATATCATTTTAATTAACTTTTATCTTAAACACACAAAATAAAAGAAATATTATATTAATTTTTCGAACCCCTCCCTCCGCCACTTAGTACTACGATCTAATGGTATTCCTCTTCACTTGTATCTGAGATTTCAGGTTCAATCGATTCTCACCAAATGCGAATTTGAACCACATTATTGTGGCTCATCCATTGTGAGGCTTATCCCACTCCTTCACCTCTTAGTGTAGAAAATATTTCTTGTTCAGGAAAAAAAAAAAACCACCACCACCATTTTTCTTCTGTTAATCTCAAAATGAGATCTCGTATACCCAAACTCTCCTATCTCTCTCCCTCACTTCCTCTCACAAACTCCATGATTGCCTGCAAATATTCAAACCCAAAATCATGAGGGCAAAATGTGATTGAAAATTTAGGAAAGTGGGCTTAGTGCAGAGGTTGCGGTGCACGCGTCAGATGATAAAGATGAGAAAACAGGTCGCATGGGTTCGTTTGAGAGGGAAATTTGGCTTATGGTTGTGGGTTCGTTGGGTCTCACAAAGGGAGAAAAATCAATTTGAAGCAAAAAATGGGTTAGGTTTCGAGACGATAGAAATCGGTGAGAGCTGTTTCTGATTTGGTGACTAGAGAAGGGGTTGATGTTACTCATGTAAGAAGGAGAAGGAAAATTTTGGTGACTAAGGTTGCGGGATGATGGAGATTGGCGAGGCATGCAGGCGTGCAGCGATGCAGGTGTTGAGACGGAGAAATTTTTCTGTGTAACCAATACACAGGATGGTACACCACATGTCACTATACAAATGGTGGGATATGTGTGTTAAAAAGTTAATAACTTAAAAAATAAAATTTCCCACAATTTATATAAAAACACATGGTGTACCCTCAGTATTTCGATCACAATGAAAAATTTCTCGTTGAGATGGGATTAGAAATCCTCTATTTTTCGTGGAGTCCCACTAAGACTATCTTGTGGAGAGATTTTTCAGTGTGACCGATACACAGGGTGGTACATCACATGTCATTATAGAAATGATGGGATATGCGTGCTAAAAAGTTAATAACTTAAAAAATAAAATTTCCCACCACTTCTATTAAAACATGTGGTGTACCACTTGTGTTCCCGTCACAATTAAAAATTTCTCCATCTTGTGAAGCATTTAGTTGACATGAGTTTGATTTAACTAGTCTCACTAAAGTCAGTCTTTACTCGCATTAAACATGGACTAGTAATCCTAATTAAGCCAATTCAATGAAACTT